ATAAAATTTCTTCTCTGTTTTAACATGCGAATTAATATGCCATACTTTAAAATGTGTTTCAAATTGACAAATAATTTAAATGAATGAAAAATCTTGTTAACATGAATATAATTAAAAAAAAAAGAGCACATACATCAATGACATATGGACCTGTTATCAGTTTTTGGCGACATGTCTCTGGGTCTCTCTAAAAGAAGTGGTCCGCCTTTTCTAACCCATGTAACGTCTGTCTGTAGTTCTGGATATTGGATTCAAAGATATATTTAAGGAGAACACAGTAAGATTTTTAAAAAAAAGCCTTATTATCTTCATCGTGATAAGTGAGAACTATTTGAATGAATTTGTGTTTCCTTCTTTCTTCCTGTGAGCATCTGGTTTTCAACTCACATGATAAGTAGAACAGAACAGAGAGTTTTATGCAAAAAAAATTAAGGGATTTTGAGATTATGTAATTGTTTGTCACTTGTGAGCAGCTGCTTGCCTTACAAAAAGAAACTTCATTCTGCTAGTGTTTGTGAACTTCAGTATGATATTGATTGATATTTTCAGCCTCAGTTACAGAATGGCAACTTTCAAGTTTGTATATTCTCTCTTTCTCACGTAAATAGGCTAGCAAATCGCATAAGGAGCATGAAATTTGTTGGAATGGTTCATTAACTTATTAACTCTTTACAGGGTGAATGAATGACTTCAGATTACTGATGTGCATAATGGGGTGTCTTACATGTATAAAGTCATTAACCTCCTAACTAACTAACACTAAATGAGATTTCTGTCATAATTGGTGAAAACAACAAACATGCTTCTCACCATTTTACAGATTAAAACCTAATGTAAACAATTATTTAAAATTCAGTTGCAACCTTTAAGAAGTCTTATGACATTTTTATTACAAAATGTCAGTCGGTAAAAGATAAGAAATTTACTGTTGTTTAATATGGAAGTAAAACAAAACCAATAGATTTACACTGAGGTCAAAATGTTTGGTTATTTGCTATTAAAGCATTTGATTCAATAGCAATCACAGTCCTATCAAAGGTTACATTATTAAGTTTGGCACGTTTGTGAAGAGGGATCAACAATAAATTGCTATGACATCTAGCTGAAAGGACATATCAGACATTTTGGCAACATTTAGATACAACAATATATAAATCAGACATGTTATAATATGTACATAACTAAAGTTTTCTTTTACCCTTAGACAGGCACTGTTATATATGTAAGTTCTGTATCATTACTGATGCTGATGTAAACTTTTACACAGTGTAGTTTGTGATGCATAGTCAATTCTTGTAGTATAAAGACTGTTGAATTTTTTATTTTGTTTTAATATGTGAGTTGAAATAAAGTATAACTAGAGGTCAGGTCACTTAAATTTTGGCAGTGCTCGAAGCTGTGAATGCCCACATTGGATTATTTGAAGACTGTGTATGAAAGCAGGTGAAACGTAACCTCACTTTATGTCCCATACACAGGCAATGCTTTTGTTACTGTCTGCACTTTCGCAGAACTGAACACAATATTTATTCATTATAATCAACATTATACATGCATATTGGCTGTATAACACAAATGAGGTGTGTTTCATTAGTCTGCAGTCTATCCTATCCAGAGTTTCATAAAATTAACGTTAACAAAAATCTTTTAAACTTTCACAGCTGTAATCTCGAAACTTATCCTTCATATCAAAGAGGTATACACTTTCCAAGTTCTCCAATTTTTTTCTCCTAACATCTATGTATATTAATAATAAATATTCTAAACACATTTTAAACTTTAAAATAATAACAACTTTCACTATAGCTGAAAAATTTAGGCCCTTGAATAGAGAAATATTCTGGACAACTAATATGGCGATGAGAATTTCAGTTTAGACCTTCTAATAGAGTATTTTCTCATTAAATAACAACCTACCAAAAGTTTAAATTTTAACCCAGGGTTACAAGACAGCTCTGAAAATTAATGTGGGTTATTTTTTGTTCAACCATGTACTGCAGCCAGTTTTGCATTAACCCCAGAGTTAGAGTTCGATCAGCAGCCCCTTGGTATAGGGGTTTAAATATTCCATTACTGCATGATAAAAAGCTTTCACGGCATCTAAGTATGATCTTTTCTTCTCAGGCTACCAGCCATGTCATATACCCGAGGACAAGGACAAAGATAGTAAACATTGGTGTTCTCTCGATTAAACCACGTGCCATGGCTGGTAGCCTTTTACTAAAGCAAGTACCCAGTATAACATGTGCACCAAATTATCAGTTTCTGGAGCATTGAATTCCTCATATTAAATTGACACAAAAATACATTTTTCTGTGGGAGTGCAAAACAGACTTACATGAAACATGCCGAAAAGTTTACGAAAAACAATTTAAATGATGACATATCATATGGAAATTTTTTCGCTGAAAATGCGAAGAACTGCCCCATTTAACTCAACACAATTCGAGCACTGAATTTTGGCTAAGCATTGAGTTGCAGCTTCCGTGGAACTGTGAATAGAATTCAAACTAATAAGCAATAAGATTTTATCTTTTTTATGGTTATCAACTGTTAGTGTGATGCTGTTTGGTTCAGTATCTCTTACATGTAATTAAATATCACAGACATTTATTTTAAGTCATGATTATTTTTAATTTAAATATGCACTAAACAGGTATAAATTATTTTAGCAAATTAAACACTTTGCTATCCCTACAGACATGTATAATTTATTGCTGGAAACCTTTCCTATGAAACCAGACAATTCCGCCCCCTCAGTCACTGTCATTTTATCACTACTTTAGCAGTAATAATTAACTGATCACAACAGTATTAATATTTGTGTCAACAATTGTAGTGAACTTATATATTATGTCGCATTTACCCAGAATCTGATAAGTCCCTCATTTCTGAAGCTACCACTTTCTTTTCAAGTAATCTCGTCAAATCTCCATCATTTTACCAGATGTCACAGCATAGCGTTTAGTATTTATACTTTGCATTATGGAGGTCCTGGCATCAAGATCGGACTGGAGACCACATATCCTGACTGAGGTATTCCTGATGGCATATTTTAAGGCAAAATTGAAAAGCAGCGGTGATAGTTCGTCTCCCTGGTTCAGGCCATCCTGAACAGGAAATGTATCAGTAAAACGTTTACCTACACAAATTTTGCTACAGGTTTCGTTCAAACACGTTTTAATTAACCTGACTAGCTTCTTCGGTACACCAAATTCTAACAAAATGTTGTAAAGAGCTTGTCTTTTAACTAAGTCACAGGCTTTGTTGAAGTTTATAAATAGTTAATGGACTGTCCCGTTGTACTCCCACTTTCTCTCTAGTAGCTGAAGAATATAGAAAATTTGGTCAGTTGTAGATCTGTTATGAGGGAACCCGCACTGTTGATCCCCAATAATTTCATTCACATATGGAGTCGACCTTGTCGGAAGAATTTTGGATAAAATTTTGTAAGCAGATGATAAGAGGGATATTTCTCAGTAATTATTAAAATCAGGCTTATCACTCTTCGTATGATTTGGTACAATGCTTACAACTACCAGATAAATAACTTTAGTGTTTCTGTAACTAAAAATACGTTCATCCTGTAGGTCAATTTTGGTATGTCTTCTAGATACATTAGAGTAGAAACAGACATGCAAATTGAAATACAATGAAACTTCATTTTTATGTTCCTGAATTTTACATTTTCATATGCAATTTTACACACATTTTGTGTAGTTTCAGTCGAATGCCACAAGAACAATATTACATGCCCGTGCACCATGTAACGTCATTAAACTTTCTTCCTGTTGCAAGTTCCAGGCCATTTGCAATCCACAGACCCATATTTTTATTGAGAACTTGTTTTCTACCTGCACCCACCCTCACTAGGAAAACCATGTTTTAAGTGTGCAGAAAATGCAGATTGCTGTCATAAGATTGTGACCAGTTTCTAATATAATTTATAAAAAAGTTTAATATGAATAAATGTGTGTAATGTGCTCAGTATTGATTTTAATAATCCAGGGTTACAGTCTTTCTTGCTTCTCATACCTATGTTTTACGTAAGAGTTTCCAGTATTCTTCCTGTGTAGCTGTATGACACATTTCTTAATCATTTGCTTGTCTGCCTTGATGTTGCCTTGGATTGTCTATAATTTGACAGGACTTGTAGGATATTCATATTTTGAAAGCTTTATTTCTACCGACAACACATCATCTATGGTTGTTCTGGGGTCCATATGTTTAACTTAGATCAATGCCATTCTTTCCACTGCTCAAAGTCTCCCTTCCCAATGTGGCCCCATTCCTATTTTTCCCACCACATGTTCAGGCTGTTCCTTGCTGGACTTTTTCTCTGACTACAGAGTTTGCATTATTGGAGCATTGGTACCAATCACTGGTGGCAGAGGTTATATGGTGCTTGAACTGCCCATCTGAATGGTAGATTTTGATTCTTTATTTGGCTTTCTGAGATCATTTTTAGCTGTTCCATTTCACTCTTTAGTTTTTCCTCGTCTTGATTTTGTTACTTTCCACTGCTGCCTTTTTTTGTGTGTTTATGTCAGCTTCTATGTTGTCTATCTTGAAGAGTTTTCCTTTGTAGTAGGTCCAGGCAAAACCACAGCATACATCAGTTCTTTGACTTTAATATGTTAGATTCCCCAACATTGACTCCTGTTCCATTTTCTGTGGTACCATTCGCCATAGTCAGCTTCATAGTCCACACCTTGCCCATCTTCTCCACAGGTTTTCATACCACCTTTGTTTTGCTATGTTATTTAATATTTCATAAGAAAAATGTTGTCTAATGGGATGCTGCACCATGTAGTCTGTTGTCTGATACACGTTTATAATCTTCATCCTCGCCGCCGCGAGAACCTGAAATCTCACCTAATATTTTGTCCGTCAGATGGTAGACTTTAGTGGTAATTTGTTGGTAAATTTGTGGTCTAGAGAATTTTCTGTCTGATGTTGTCTAGCTTGTTAAGAGCATAGTTTACCTGCCTTGCCCTGAGAAGTACCCGATGTTGGCATTAATGTATGATAGTTCTCATTGGTTAATTTGTTTCGTGAGGTGAGATGTGAATAAAATAGTACAATTTCTTTCTGTTGTGTGTTGGAAGTGTTCTAACCTGAAAAGGGAATATGTGGTTCGAAGTCGATGAAATAGCTGAATTATTCAGAGGATATATTCCATATTATTTACTAATCGTGTTACCAATATTTATTATTATATCACCCGTGAACCCTGTTGGTGCTGCAAATGAATTTCCCGTGCACCGCATGCATCAGTATGACTTGCATGGTGTACCGCACGGTAAGATTTTAGGTTTTTTCTTTCTTCTTATGGTATACAATAAAAACATATTTGGATGTATTGATGTGAGCATTGAATTTTAACACCGAGTAAAATAGCTAAGAGTATTACAGTGAGCCATTGCTGGAGGAGATATTATAACCTCAATTCTGCTGTCTCATCTATTATTTCACAAGTTATCGTTTGATAAAACAGAGAGTGTCTCATTCAGAATGACCTCAGTAAGGAGATGCCTAATCAGCATTGATTTTCAATTTTGCTTTGAAATGTGTCATCAGTCTGGTTCAAGAAAAGAAAGAGGCATTGAGATTGAATGGGACATACCAGCGTCTGGTCTATGATGATGTTAATTTATTGCGTAAAAACATAATTATCACAAAGGAAAGCAGAGAAATTCTATTAGATTCGTATAATGATGTTGGTCCAGAATTAAATACAGAGAAAACTACATGGTCATGTCTGGTCACCAGACTACATGTCAGAATCTTTTATAAAGGTAGCTAATAAGTCCTTAGAAAGTGTGATGAAGTTCAGATATCCGGGAATGATGGTAACAAATGAAAATTGCATTCATGAAGAAGTTAAAGAACAGAATACATCTGGGGAATATTTCCTACCTTGTAGTTCAGAATCATTTGTTTTCTCCACTCCTGTCTAAAAGTTGAAAGTTTAGAATTGCATAATGAGGAGCTCCATAAATTGTATGTCACCATATATTGTTTGTAGCCTGGAAACAGCTCCATGTCTCCCGACCTGCCCCAGTATATACCAGCTACGTTTTAACATTATTCACTATAGGTGAGATTTCAGGTTATCATGGCAGTAAGTATGATGGGATGTTTCACTGTGTAGTCTAGTAGGTGTTGACCGAGTTTTGGAGGTGCTTACTGCTATAACCATCCACTGTGTAGCTTCCAAGGTTCCGTTGGTTGAACACCATAGAGCTGTAGCTTTTTCGGGGTGGACATTGAGCTGCCTCTGCTCCTGGGGCAATATGGGTGTTTCACAGATAATGTTTTAATTTGGGAGCAGGTGAATGAGGTTGGGTATCCCAGAGTAAATAGGTTATTGGGGCTTAGATAGGTGGTGGATGGACTCCGGATGTCAGGGGGTGTTAACAGTCTGTTTGTAGCAGCTAATGATTAACATTTGATTGGTTTCGAGGAAGTCACCACTATTTATTCACACACACGTACAACACAGAAGTTACTAGGTAATGATCGTTAGATAATTGTAAGTTCTCTGGGGTAATAAACATAATTTAGTTGTTTAGATGTGAGACAAAAATAAGATGTTTTCTGCACACGTAGCATAAGGCTTACTTCTAGGACTTAGAAGCAGATGTCCACTTCCATACTAAACATGTGGTGCTAAACCTCCAAGTAGCTGTTAATACAATGAACAACTTGAGATGTGTGATGCAGAAACGTGTTAACTTGAATAAATCGTTTAGGAATTAATATGAAATAAAAAAATATTAACAAATTTGGTATCAAAAGACATAACCTAATGAAGAGTTGAGATTAATATACAAAATTAATTAATTAAAACTAAACTAAAGTCAGATGAGTCGTTACACTGCTTGCGTCATTAGCATAATGGGTTCTGAAACAATGATCAACTTCAGAATGTGTGATGCAACATCCCAGAAGACAGCCATTTTTGTTTATTGCTTCAGCCTTGATGATAGAGTTCCCTGAAACATTGCCAAAAGGCCATCATCTACTATCTGTATTTACCAAAAGTTTACTCAGCCATGAAGCTATGACATCATGCTGAATGCTTTCCTCAAAACATTGCCCCCTCCTAAAGACGTTTCTACTGTTTGAACAATCTGAATGATATTTAATTGTATGGGTCTGTTACCAGTGAACAGACAAAGATGCTAAATTCTATATAAATTGTGAAATGCTAACAATAGAAGAATGGCATGAAACATTAGAAAGTTAGAAAAATAATGGAGAACAGAGTCAGACAATGTTTCTATACCGCATACAGCTGCGTGTGTGCATGGAAGGGTACTTCTGTTGGAAGGTCAAGTCTCCTTAGACTGAGAGTAATGAGTTGCTGTAGAAGCTTAAAGCTAGTTACTAGAATATCATATCAGGGAGGATGAGTTAGGCAGGGCATGTAAAGAACATAGATGTAAAGAGAAATAAACACAAAATTTTGGTTGGAAGGCCTGAATGGAGGAGACCGCTGGGAAGGCATAGGTGGGAGGATAGCATTAAGATGGACCTTAGGGATAGAGGAATCGATGGAATGAACTGGATGCAGCTAGCTCAGGATAGAGTCTGGTGGCAGGCTCTTATGAGCACAGTGATGAACCTTCAGGTTCCATAAAGAAAGTGGGCTGTTCTTTGTCAAGCCAAGTATACAATCAACTTTTCAAAGAATTTTCTACACCACAAAGTGAGTGAGGAGGCTCTTGTGATCACGGTAATGAACCATTGGGTTCCACAAAATGTGGAGAATTTTTTGACTAACCAAACTTCGTATTAAGGACTTACTACTTGTCAAGGACTGTTTCATCGAATTAGTTTTTATTATGTTACATGTGTTAGGTCTGTCAAAGATAAGCATAAGTATCCTGGTAGATTATGTGATGTATGCTAAAGTGGCTCAAATACATGCCAAAATGATGTTCTTTTATATTCACAGGTTGTCGCAGTTCACACGTAAACTTGGAAGCACGTTCTGTTAGTAGATGGAGTACATCTCGTCACTGTGTTGTTACACGGCTGGAAGACATCACAGCTGCTCAATTTCGAGAACTCTGTAACAAAGCAGGAGCTCTTCTTGTTATGTTACCTCGAGATATGACGAGCTTGCTTGAGGAAGAGAAGCAGGTAAGAAGTTTAAAGCATCTGTGACATTGAAAGAGTGGATCACATGGATTGGACACTAAGTATCTTAGCAGTCTTATGCAAAAATGTTGAGAAAAGGGGTAATGCCAAAAGTACTATTGCACTATGAACACAGTTATCTGAGGGTAGATACTTACTTACTTAGGATATTTAGGCGACCCTTTCTTCAGTGCCTGAGCAACTGCGGGTCCCTACTTTCGTTGGCGTTGATCTATAGACAGTTGGTAGGACTCCTTGGATGAGTGATCAGCCCGTCGTAAAGCCTCTACCTGTGCACAGGACAGCACAACACACAGAGAGACGGAGACAAACATCCATGCCTTTAGCAGGATTCGAACTCACGATCACAGTGTCCAAGCGGCACAAGGCCCGCGCCACAGACCGCGTGGCCACTGTGACAGCACTGAGGGTAGATAATAATATAAAACATTCTTGTGGTGAATGTTATGTTAATCCAATGCTTATCCCGTAAGGTGTAGAACAACTACTTACCATGCTGAGGATAGTAAGGAATGTAAAGTTATTTCTAAATTTTACCAATGTTTTCTCTCAAGATCTTCTACTGTTATAGATTTCAGAATCTTGAGTTGAATAGTGCTTATTCTGAAGGTGGATGGATGTCTTCTGGGTTGTAACACCATGTAGTGTGGTTGTTGTTTATCAGCGTTTTAATGGTCGTTGCTGCCTCCATCATCAGGGCAGTGATGGTGGAGGTGACAAGAACCTCTGAAACATTGATAAACTTCTACCAGACTACATAGTGCTAGGGAGATTCAACGACGCATTAAGCCACATGGTGTGGGAAAAATGCTTTGTGACTTTGGCTCTGTTACCTTAAGAATACAAACTGTCTGCAAATCAACCGATTTCTGCAATAACCATTAGACGTATGTTTAAATATAGGTTATAAGTCTAAAAAGTAGCCTGATGATTCATGTGGTGGTGATGAAATCTCTTATGGTACCATTTACCATTTTAATAGGTTTACCCTTATTAATACGAGGCGCGTCCTCAAAGTAAGTTTCCCTGGGGCCGTTTACAGAAACAAAACACAATTTCATGGGAATATTTATTGCAACAGATACAGCAAGTGTCCAGCTATTTTTCAACATATTCGCCACCGGAATTGAGACATTGGTCATACCGTGGGACCAACTTTTGAATACCTGTGTCGTAGAAGTCTGCCGCCTGGGATTGGAACCACTGTGTGACAACCATCTCCGCCTCTCTGTCATTCTCAAAACGCTGACGCTGACCGGACAGGAATTTCTTGAAGTGTAGGAAAAGATGGAAATCACTGGGAGCGAGATCCGGGCTGTAGGGTGAATGATTAAACACCTCCCAGCTAAACTCCTGCAGGAGACTTGCTGTCCGTCGAGCCGGGTGCGGCCTAGCGTTATCACTGACCGCACTTCACAGGCGGCGGGAGCTGGAATAAGAACCTCCATCTTCAACAGCCGCAACGATGCTACTGTGAGAACGCGGGAAGTACCGTTAGTGCATGCGCCATGCTACGTCATTGCTCTATCACGTACGCACAGTCGTTTTGCGCAATATACGGTTTGCTAGCTGTGGGACGAGTGGGAAACTTACTTTGAGGACGCGCCTCGTATGAATTGTTTGTTTACAGCTCTTCTTTGTTGCAGCAAGTGATGGAACTAGAAGCAGCCATGATGTTACAAGAGGTGTTCATTCCAGTTTACTTTACTAAATGGAGTCCAGATCTCCATAATATACTGGATGACATCTCAAGAAGCTCTGTGACTGATGATCGATCTATTTCAGCAGCTGAAGGTGAATAATAGCAGTTTACTCATATTATATTTGAAACTCTGTGAACACTGAAATTTAAAACCTCGGGGTAAAATGCTGAATGATTGCATTTTTGTTTGTCTTTAACTACAGCGTGGGACAAAGGTTTTTTGTAAGTGAGATGCAAATGCTGAAATTTCATCCTCATGTTTGTTTTAAAGACACGGATTATTGCTATATTCTAAAACTTTAATCACAGTGTATCTAATTGTATAGTATGAAGTATAATGTAAGCAAATTTTTTTATTTTCTTTAAGAACTCATCACAACTCTGTCCTGAGCTATTTCATTCAACTTCACATCTTCACAACCTTTTTCTTTAAACACATGTTTTATATTATCTTCCTATTTATACTCCTCCCCCAAGTATTATCAGGGTGATTAAGTCAAGAAGAATGAGACGGACGGGGCATGTAGCGTGTATGGATGGGGCAAGAGGTGTGAACCAGGTATTGGTCAGGAAGCCTGAGGGGAAGAGACTGCTGGGGAGACGTAGATGGGAGGATAATCTCAGGTGGGATCTATGGGAGATAGGAGTTGAAGGAGACTGGATTTTGTTGGCCCAGGACAGGGTCCGGTGGAGGGCTTTGGTTAGTTCGGTGATGAACCTTCGGGTTCCGTAAGCCATCTGGTTGGTTGGGTCCACTGTTTGGGAAGCCTGAGGGGAAGAGACCTCTGGGGAGACCTAGACGTAGATGGGAGGATAATCTCAGGCGGGATCTATGGGAGATAGGAGTTGAAGGAGACTGGATTTTGTTGGCCCAGGACAGAGTCCGGTGGAGGGCTTTGGTGAATTCGGCGATGAACCTTCGGGTTCGGTAAGCCATCTAGTTAGTTAGTTAGTTAGTCTTCCAGATTAAAGTAGCAGGCGGGTGGGGATCCTAAGTCTTCGTAACATTTCGGAAGAGGTGCAGTAAAAACGAACGTCCTGGCAAACACAAATATGCATCCCAGCGAACTGTTCCAATGGGGTGACAGCTTTCAATGTGGTAATGTTTAAAATAAGCAGATGACTGTCGCGGAGGGTGTGCGGAAGCAGCCCAGCTGCGGTCAACAAGTGGTCGCCAGTCCGTCCGTCCGCCCACCGCTCAGTGTGTTTCATTTGTTTATGACGCGAGATGCGGATACGGACTGGCGGAGGCTGGGTATGCGTTCAGTTCGTCATCAGAATTTAGTTTGATTCACCTCAGAGATAACTACAGAGAAGACCAGATTCAGTTCAGCGTATAATTATAACGAATCTTTTGCTAATTTTAAATCGTGAGAAGTCCCCAATTGTCTATAACATGTTTTGTGGACGCAAAATGTTGTGAGCATGGTCTACGTCATAGTAAGAGGGGTAGAGAGGATGGAAAGGGCACGCGAGGATCACGACGCCATTATGATTCGCCACTTATGTCACGTAGAGCACATTGGCTCCCAAGCGATTTTTGACAAATTTAAATTCCGTCCCTCGACCCACCGGTGGCCCTTATCCTACATTGGTAAAAATATAAATCCAGAAACCTTCCTAGCTGAACGGCCGAGGTTCGACTACAAGTTTCTGAAAGTAGTTCAATTCTTTTTTTTTTTTTTTTTTTTCTCAACTGAAATAGTAGAAAAGACCTACTCACATTGTAAAAGATGTTTCTTATGTCTAGTTAGTTAGTTATAATACTATCTTCATTTTCATGTCTCAGGCTTCTAACATTTGCTGTAACATTTTATATGCATTTGTTCCATGTACAACCCATCATCACCACTCCCTCAATGTATTCATCATCTAATGCAATATAATTTTGAAGTCCCTCATTGTGTAATTTTGTCTGTTCATCTTTCAAGTTGTCTATTTTATGTCCACAATGTTTTCCTCTGCATTTTGTTTTCTTTACAGTCATAATTTTGTGAATAATGAAAAATTAATTTTTATTGATCTTTCTGCTTTTAGCTCTGATGAATTCTGTGTCTGCCAATAGTTATCAGGTAGTAATCGGCGCCAATCAAGCTACAGCCAGACCTGATGTCAGTATTGCAGCCATTCAGGTGTGTACATCATCATATTTATCCTTGCATTAGAGAACGCAGATTGGATTAGAGCAGGATTCTCAGATGTGATCATCAATTATTCTTTTTGGTGCATCTGTTGAATATTTCTGTTGTTTGTGTAAAGTCCATAAAATTAATATATGATGGCGAGATAATGTCTCTGCCTGTTGACTGCATCGTTCATTTCCAAAACTGAACAGATTTCCATTAAATTTGATACTAGACGAAACACTCAAAGTTATTGGGTGAATTTAATTTTGGTACACAATTTGTTCGATAGAATTCGTACGTTTATGTAATTTAGAACTAGTTTAAAAGTCGTGGTGACAGAAAATGTTTGAAACGCATGCCAGAAAGTGGGGCCTCAGCATCTGGTTTATATCAAATCTTACAGCAGTCCTTTTCCAACCTTAGTTTTAATTCAGTGGTATTGGTTTTCATTTGTATCAATTTTTACCAACTTCAGTATTGGATTATTTTATTAATTTCTATACACACAGACGAAGTGCCTTTTACGTCAGCACATACACCTGTACTGGAGACAGGCCTTAAATGACACTTGAAATCAGGTTTCTGGCTTCGAGATTGCTTTCGTAGTACATCTTTTTGTGACAATTTTGTATTTCATATTTATTTTTAAACACATTTGTCGGGTGGTTTTGTGTTTAGTGGAGAAACACACAGCTTAGACTGTGATGAGTATTAACAACCAGTATTATTCCACCGACCCCATTGTCCCATATGGAGTCTGGAAACTGCTGGTCTGCCAGTGATGTTGAATTTAAAATGTTTCAGTCAGTATTTAAGGCATGACATGGCTTGTTCATTGTCCGTAACTTCGTAATAGCACAGTTTATGTTTACTCGGAAGGAACTGCATATATGGGGCAGTACAGCAGAAGTAAATGCTTTAAAACTGATGCTTCATATGTTTAATAATTCCTGGAAATCAGTGTGTATTACCACAGCCAGCCACCAAATCTTTTTTTTACTCTTGTTACAGGGTAAACTGTCTGGTTATGGTATTGAGGAAGATCTTCCAACCATTGTGATTGTAGCATATTATGATAGTTTTGCAGTTGCACCAGTAAGTAACAGTTATTATATTTAAATGTCTTTGATGAAATCTTGAATGTAAGGTACGTCGTAAAAAGGGGCCATAAATTTAAGAATTAAAGTAGAGGTTAAGGAGAATGATTTTGAATTTCCTGGTTTTTAACCTGACAGGCTTACCACCAGAGACTTGTGAGGGTTTTGGGGCTGTGCTCGCAGGCTTAGACGCGGAGTACAGGGAATCTTTTTATGCAGTGATAGCTCATTGTTCACTTCCCATAAAATGGTGTAAGCTGTGCTCTTTTTGAAACCAAAGCCAGGATATAATCAATTTATTCCAAAAAGAATTGTCAACCCTTACGTTAACAATTAAAAATTATAATTTTAACTTTTTTATTGTGTAATGAATTCTTGGGCTAGAACCATCTTCATCCTCATCCTCAGGGTGCTGAAGTACAGAGGACAAAGATGGTTCTGGAAATGGTGTTTTCTCCATTAAGTCACCTGACATGGTTGGTTGCCCGAGAAGAATTTATTATACTTCGTTGCTGTGAAAGTTTCAGATCATAAATTTTTATAGTCTTTGCGCTCGAGTTCTTATAATTAATCATCATTCTTTGGCTTACGGTCACTTTTTTATTCTTTTTCTTTGTATTTTAAAACTCGTCTGTAACTTATTTAATGTGAAATTTTGCACTTATCTCATTTAAATAAATAATGACTAATGCGCATAGAAAGATAATAGAAAATGTTCTTTGGATGTGGTATTGGTTGGGAGGGGGGGGCACAAAATGGGAAAGTTTAAGACCACTGTTTTGGCTAAATAATTTTAAGTTCATATACTTGCTTTGGTAATAGATATTTACAAAGGTATGCAGTTATATTCTATATAATTTGAACCATAAATTTTTATCATTTCTATAGAAAACTTCCATATATTCTGTTTGTTTTGTTTTTTAATCTCGGCCACGGTGGTCTAGTGGTTAGAATGCTGGCCTTGTAATCCTGGGGTCTCGGGTTCGATTCCCGGCGGTGCCCGAATTTATAACTTGTGTTGGGCAAGGCCGTGGTCTAGGCAACACGGGGTTTTCCTCCGGGGGCTTCCCCGGTTTCTCTGTGGCATCCCAACAATTACTCCATTCACACACAGAAGAAGGCAATGGCAAACCACTTCTGGATCATCTGCCAAGAACGTATATGAACAGGTCCCAGTCCGAGAAGAGAAAAGGATGGAAGGATCCTGTTCATATGGACCTGTCGTCAGACAGAACACTAAATAAATAAAATAAAATAAAATATATTATGCAGATAGTTACCACATTAAATGTAATTTGTTGTCACTTTTCCAATGATTACCATTCTTGCCCAATAAGAAGTTATATTATCATATATAATTAAGTAATTTAACATAATAATTCACAGAAATAGAATCATATAATCTGTTTGGCATCTCTTTATTGTGCATTATGGAACATTTACATGGTAGAAGTAACCTGGATATTATTCTATGGACCTGAGTCATTCTTGAGAAACTGATGGTCATTGAGATAGTCGCATTTTACCAAACTAAAAGGTTTGTTACAATGTTCACAAGAGCCTACCACAGGATTCTATCCTTTGCCAGACGAATCCTTTCCACATCTTCATGTCCAATTTCTTTATTGTCCATTTTAATATTATCCTCCCATCTGTATATATCAGACTTTCTGGCAAACAAGTTGTTTTGTTTTTCATCATCATAGGTTTTTTTTTGTAGTGCGTATAAAAACAAATTGTTGCATAATAATTTCTTGGTGTCATATGCAAAATTAAAATATCCCTTTGTTTTCACATCATAATTCCCTTTGCTAATCCTGTCTTTTGATAACTACGTGGCTTATATTCCTTTTATCTCTTCACTCCTCGCATTTTAATCCAACCAATTGGCATGTGAGAGGGGTAAAGCCCTGACTGAAGATCAAAATTCTGATATTACCGCAGGCCCACTTCAAATCTTACACTTTTTCTACTGGGATTAAAACAATTTCTATGCAGTTATATTACAGGATTTTTATAATGTTGTGTTTGGATTAATGTTATTGGAATTTGACTAGACCATGAAATGTTTGCCAAATCCAAATAATGAACAGGTGGATGAACGAAGGTTTTGGCATCACCAATCTCATTTAGATGGGAAGATATAGTCTGGATATGTTTGCAGACGCTGGCATTTGGTGCAGACTCCAATGCCTCTGGAGTAAGCATGCTGTTGGAACTTGCACGCCTTTTCTCACATCTGTACACAAGCTCAAAGTCACATGCCCGTTATAACATGATTTTTCTGCTGTCTGGTGCTGGAAAACTAAACTACCAAGGCAGCAAGAGATGGCTGGATGATCAGCTTGATGGTCTGGAGGGGTCTATTATTCAGGTTTGTATTTTTGGTTACATATTCTTCACAGCTTTTTTTTTCTCTAATGTGGAACTTTGTTTTTGGTTAGTGTTATGTAGCTCATTAAATGTGTGCTACGCTAACACTGTGGTAGCAGAACCACTAATACCAGCTATTGCCATCAGACATGGAAATAAGTTTAATTTATTAAGCTCTGATACTCACATCTCCATATGTTTCTTGATCTTCAGATGGACCTTTTATATTCCATAAGACTTTTTCTCTCCAACATTATGTATAGTAGGATTTGAGGTTTTCACGGAGTCTGAAGATGGCTGTCTTCTGGGTTGTAGCGCCGTGTAGTCTGGTGGAAGTTTACCGACGTTTCAGAAGTCCTTGATGCCTTCATCAGGGCGATGACTTATAACTCTACCTGACTACATGGTGCCATGCTGCCCAGAAGACAGCCATAATCAGCATTATGCTTATGTTCCCAAATATACATAAGAAGGAAATATGGGACAGAATTTAGCATTGTGGACAGAGGGATTTTCATGGATGACGGTATATTTGCAGTGCATATGCTTCCCTTTCCGTGATATGGTAATGTTTCCCATAGGTCAGAAATATTAATCTTATAACAAAACTAAGAAAGTACATAATTTTAAAATTGAAAGAATTGTGTTATTTTAAATGTGATATTTATATGTAATTAAAAAGGGGTATTTGTTACTTCTTTTTAACTTTTCTTCGTTTGTAAATGCTCATAATCTTTTTTTCATTATTATTATTATTTTGTTTCTGCAGGATGCTTCGTACATCCTCTGTCTGGACACAGTGGCTACCTCCAGTAGCTTGTATGTCCATGTCTCAAAACCGCCTCGTGAAGGAAGCCCGGGAGCCTTGTTTTTCAAGGTTTGTGTTAATACATTAATTTAATAAACATGTATTAAAAATATATTAAAATTGGTCGAGTACTCGATACGGAACGTAAAATGATATTTTAATCTTTTAATTATCTTATATTGTGATTGACGGCCAATTTTAATATATTTTTAATACTGTTTAAATAAATCACAATATGACGCACCTACAATATCTTAATAAACATGCCTTGGAGTAAAATAACATTTTATATTAACTTATTTCCTCTAGTAACAAAACTTGTAATTTACCTTGCTGCCGCAAAAGCCTACCATTTGACATTGTCCTGAGCTAATTGAGTCCAGTTCACCTGCTTATAACTGTTGCCTTGATCTTTACAGTACAAAAATAAGGGATTTAATCACCCATATCTTGGGGATTCTGGCTAAAATTTAACACCAGAGATTTAATGACTTAGTGGTATGCCACTGTGAAACTGGATCAGTTGGTTCATTAATCAGTTGTGTGGCCAGTAAATGTTAAGATATATTTTAATGTTATATACTTCAGTTTGGCCAACTGTAGAAACTAATTTCAGATGTGTAACAATGTATGCAGGAGCTGAAAGATATAGCAGAACATTTATACCCCAATGTGACAGTAGATGGTGTTCATAAGAAAATCAACCTCGCTGAGGAAGTGTTGGCTTGGGAACACGAACGCTACAGCATACGCCGTCTTCCTTCCTTCACATTGTCTTCCTTGAAGGTATGTTCTGTGTATGAAGATTTTCATTTGTTTGATATGGTATCTCTCAAATTGTTAATAGAATTGCTTGGTGAAATTAGTGATGGATGTAGTCATGTTGTTTTCTTCAATTTATTTATTACCAAACTGTTCCACAAAACTAAACGTCAGATGGCAGGGTACGTGCCATAGTCTGGTCAGCAGGAGGGGTAAGGGCATGAGGGGGGGGAGAGAAAAAAGAGGGATCCTCCTGCTGCCCAGAAAGGGCATGAGGGGGGGAGAAAAAAAAGAGGGATCCTCCTGCTGCCCAGGTTGTGGCACGCCCTGCTCCTATTGGTTCCCAGGCCCTCACCTGATTCTCACTCATACCTACTGGCTAGACCAAGGTTCTTCCGTAACTGTGTCCTATAACTCAAACCATTTCCACACGTGCAACTTACTCATCGTCTTTATGATGGAGGCAGTAAGGACCTCTGAAACGTCGGTAAACTTATACCAGACTGCATGGTACAACAACCCACAAGACAGCCATCTTTGAATTGTCTGCCATGAAAACCTCAAATTGTACTTATTCATATTTTGTCTTACAAATTTTCAACTTGCTTAGTTGTTGCAGTTACGGGTGATATTTATGCAGGCAGTAGCTAAGAAAATTTTATAAATCATAAAGAAGGATAGATGTGGTGAAAACCAGTTTAGAAGTTAATGCCAATATGACATGGATTTCTTGTCGTTTGTCCCAGAGCCACAAGGACTTGATACGAGCCTCTCTGCTTGATGTCCGGGAGAATGTGGACGTGACACGTCTCACAGAAAATACACAGATTTTAGCCGAAGTTCTTGCTAGGCATATCTTCAACCTAACTACAGGAGAAATTTTTTCAAGTACCGTGGTAAGTGATGTATATCTCTTTACAGATTTGGTTGCTCTGACCTGTTTATTCCCTTGGAAAAACATAACAGGCGTAACAATTGTTCCTGTGCTAACAAACTTTGCATTAAGATAAATACAAACAAGTTCCAGGCAGAATTCATATATATTACTTTCCTACTGTGTATAGACTTCTATCCCTACAAATCTTGATATGTTAGAATGCTGGACTTGCCCATAGATGGTTATAGGATTTAAAATAATACTTGGGGTCACAGTTTTGTTATTGCTTACAAATGTAAATGTCATACAAGTTATTTTATTGTTATTGCTATTGATATTTTATTTTTTAGAACGTATTACTCATTTACGTTCTATGTTAAATGTCATGGTTGAGTGGTTAGCACCCCTGCTTCATATTCACGAGGTCTGAGGTTCAGATCTCGTCCTAGAGATTAAGCCTTTCTGAGTGAGTTTTCTCCATGATTTTCTTCAGTCTCTCCAGGTAAATGCCAGGATAATAGCTTAATTTAGGATATAAATTTATGAATTGGAGTATCAGTCTAGGTTAAAATGATTCTAATGAAAATTACTGCCTTCTGGGGTGTTTCGCTTTGTGTCTGTCATCACCCTGATGATGGAGGTAATAAGCACCTCTGAATTGTCAGTAAACTTCTACCATACTGCATGGCGCAACAACTCAGAAGTTAACCATCTTTATACTTCCCATCATGAGAACTTTAATCTCACAAAAAAGAAGTAATGATCCAGTTGAAAAGGTAAAATTGTTCTTCTGCTTAAGCCGATGTCATGATGATGTGTGGGATAGTGTAGATAAATCTCCATTCATTCTTAACTTCAATACTATATAGAGGCGAGTAGTTAGCTTTACAGGCCGATCACTTTATCTTCAAGAAAATTGTAAACTGATTCTCTTTCTTTGACGAGGAACACGTGCTACAGATGGATAGTGTTATTTATAAAACTTTATTTTCTCATTGCAGGGTGTGAAATTGGACTCCTTGAGGTCATGGCTTGACTTCCTAGCAACTCAGCCAAGGTCTGTACAGCTCCTCTCAGAAAAGAACAATCCCTTGGTGATTTCATTGAAGGATGCCATGAGCAGGTACTTGTGTTTGAACTAACCACAATTAACATATTTAAGCTACGAGGCGCGTCCACAAAGTAAGTTTCCCACTCGTCCCACAGCTAGCAAACCTTATATTGCGCGAAGCGACTGTGCGTACGTGATAGAGCAATGACGTAGCATGGCGCATGCACTAACGGTACTTCCCGCGTTCTCACAGTAGCATCGTTGCAGCTGTTGAAGATGGAGATTCTTATTCCAGCTCCCGCCGACTGTGAAGTGCGGTCAGTGATAACGCTAGGCCGCACACGGCTCAACGGACAGCGAGTCTCCTGCAGGAGTTCAGCTGGGAGGTGTTTAATCATTCACCCTACAGCCCGGACCTCGCTCCCAGTGATTTCCATCTTTTCCTACACCTCAAGAAATTCCTGTCCGGTCAGCGTCAGCGTCAGCGTTTTGAGAATGAAAGAGAGGCGGAGATGGTTGTCACACAGTGGTTCCAATCCCAGGCGGCAGACTTCTACGACACAGGTATTCAAAAGTTGGTCCCACGGTATGACAAATGTCTCAATTCCGGTGGCGAATATGTTGAAAAATAGCTGGACACTTGCTGTATCTGTTGCAATAAATATTTACATGAAATTGTGTTTTGTTTCTGTAAACGGAACCAGGAAAACTTACTTTGAGGACGCGCCTCGTAATAAAATCTTTTGTGATCACGTGCTTTAGTTCTGAGTAGAAGTCCAGTATTTTGGAGACTGTCTTCGTCGCCAAAGCATGATATCAAGTGTACATGCTGTTTATACAGATCCGTTGAGGCTCCGCCTTCTTCAAGAACAGTTGTCACGTAAAGGATGGAAGGATAATGGGTAGAGTCAAGAGTAAACTCATATTTGTACATCAGCTTGATGGTGCAAACGTGTTACTGCATCTGGAAAGCCAAGCTGGAATGACCCATCTGGTGTTGTTCTGACTGAATGTTGCTGAACTTTGGGCATCAGTGGAGCTGTTCGTGACGGGTTTCAGGCTCATCTTAATAGGGTAACCTATCTTCATTTTAACATGTATTCTCTGGTTTCTTTCTGTATTGTGTTCTGCTACATTGGATTTGTCTGGTTGGTGAAGGCATATGTGAGAACTATGTCCTTTGAATCTGCCTTTTGTGGTGCGTCCCATCTGTTCATCAACATACACCTCCCTGACTTAAAAGTGAACCTCCCAGTATATATTGTGATATTATACTTACAGGTACTTGAAAGAAGTGAAGATAATTTACCAGATGCCAGACAAACGGGATCCTGAGTTTGTCTTGTACGATGTGACAAAAACTGTTGTCAATTTGTACAGGTAAGTGTGGTTTATTAAATTTTATGCTAATGAACTGGTTTTCAGTTTTGTTCCAGAGATTGTTTATTCTAATGTGAACTTTGCTCTATTATTCTTAAGTTTAGTCCTCCAAAGTTCAAAATAACAAGTAACTGATAAGAATGTTAGTATGTGTCTTAAACAGGGAAGTATCCATCCCACTATTACACTCCAAACACCACAGAAAGTTAAAATTTTTAAAAGAAAACTTAAAACAAATTCAGATTAATAAAATAATAAGAAATTAAATAGTATGATTAAATTACCTCAGCAGAAGTTGTAATTTGGGCTGTTACACGTTCTCCTCCCATTTTTTCTCTAGTATCTGGCGAATGTATAAAATTTGAACAGTTGTAGATCTATTATGAAATCCAAACTGATGATTTACAATAATTTTATTGACATGGAGTCATCCTTGTCAGTCAATATAAACATTGCCTTTCCCAAATCTTCATGACTTTTGCCTTGAAGGAGAACTAGAAAGTTTAAAGAAACTTTCTAAGCTTTCCTGGCATTTTTAGGAAATTGAGGTTCACTGTTAATATTAGCTGTAGTCTAGTGTTACTAACATATATTATGTCATAGATAAAAATATTAGAGAAATGAGAAGGGAAGTAACACTAACTTCCATCTAGTGTAGTCCTTTTCACATTTTTTTTCTTTTGCATCACATTACAAATTAAATTAAAGCTGAGTTGTTGCTTTTTTATATTTATATATTTCAGTGTTAAACCGGCCATCTTTGATCTCTTCCTGACCTTTGCCATAGCTATTTATCTTGGACTGGTTTATCTCATTATTCAGGTAAGTAAACTTGTCCATTCTCAAACTTGACATTTAAATCTTGGAAGAAACGTAATTTGATTTATTCTGTTTGCATTATATGCTGTTTATTTTCAGAAAACAGTTATCATTCCTACTCCAGTTTCTTTGTTACAAATTAATCTGCTTTATTATTACAGAATTATTTTTCTGAACATTTTTTATGCTAGAAATGTAATATGAATTCTCTTAATGAGTGTTTATTGCTGTTGTCATAATTGTGTTAAAATTAACGTACCACCATGACCACAAAACTGTCTAAAATTTGTTGTATGTCACTTATGTTGGTACCCCATTGTTCTTTACGGAAAATCAATGCACCTAAAAGAGATTAAATAAGTAAACAGAAAATAATAATAGAGAAAAGTACAGAGTCAGATCCCAAAATCAGAAGGACTTAAAAATCCTCTCTCTCTCTCCCCCCCCCCCCCCTCTCTTATGGCAGAATTTCCGTACATTTGTCATTTTTAAAACTGGCACTGTGCAGTTATTTGACTCACCACCACGTTTGAGGAGCACCACTGTCGGTCTTATTGTTAGTAGAAGACACCCTGCATGTTTGCACTTGTTTAGTCTGTGGATGGCATAAGTTATGGGCTTTTATGCGTTCTTTAGGTGATGAAGATACCACTCTAGATTTTTGAGTTTTCTGATTTCTTGTGAGAAACAAATTTTGAACTGTTGTTAAAGCATACCTCAACAGATAATTTTTATTTTTTATTCTGTCTGTGTTAAAATTCCATAAAGATCCAACATATCCTGAGTTATACACTTAAATCACAGTATAATCTATGTGTTATGGATCTCAATAGTAAACATCCTCATATAGCAAGAAAATTCTGTGCCCCAATTGAACTTGCTATATACATTTATGTAGGATATAGTGTCTAGAACTCCCATGTTACAAACTGCAGAAGTTTTTATTCCCTGAATATCTCAAAACACAAGTTTCACATTATGGACAGGAATGAAGTATGTTTGTAAAGTTAAAAGTTTCTTTAATATGATGTTCATTTGTTAAATATTTGCTGCATAATTATAATGATGTCCAGACTTGAGGCCGAATGGGTAGTAAGAACATTCATGCCACCTAAAATGTCATTTTTAGACAGTATTCCACCGATCTCTTCGGCTGTGTGTTCGCTAACTTTCTGTTCTTGGTTTCAGAACTTTCCAGTCTTGTATGCAACAGTATCTAAAATCATCTCATCAAAGAAGGTCAGAAGTCAGTGAAGAATATTTGGATTCCTTGGGGAACCCCTTTAAAAATGCAGTTTTAATTTGTGAAGGGTAGTTTTTTAATTTTTCCATATACCTGACGAACTTTTCATATAATACATTTGTACCATACTTTATCATTGGCGTAGGTTAAGAATATTAGTCTTCTTAATTATGGCTATTATTTTGGAGTGCCTTTGCCTTAAATTTTCAGGCATTCTAGTCATCTGCTCAGTGTATACAGCAACATACTTAAAATCCCTGTTTGGGTGCTTATGGTAAAGGAGTGCATCCTGTGTATGTATTTATTATGCCATACAATAAATTCCATGTATGAATGTTACTCTTCTCTGGAATGCTCCAACATTTTTATTCTGTTTTCCTTGCAGAGATTCAGATAATTTCTAATTTCACTTCTGACATACCATTTTGTTGTATATAGCTAGATTGTTCAGTTTGTGTACAGAGTTAAAAGAATCAGACGTAACCTGTTTATAGTGCTATTATTTGTACAAAAATGTGCGGAAAATATTTGTCTGGTTTGTAAGATACATGCCACTCTGAAATGGGGCAACACATAACTGTCCAGCAGTGATGCTACTTGTTCATATCCACAAACAAAGGTTATGTAGCAGTGACTGTACTCTTATGTGTAGATATACAGTGCACAGTGAGGCAGATTTGTGATCAGAGGGTCATGGAATACACATGATTAATATTGTGACATGATCCTAACGTTGGGTGCCTGTGATGGCCAAACTGGAATTGCATCGTGGGAAGTAAAGGTCGCGCGAGTAGTCGTGGCAGCTAAATGCGCGATGTGTAAGCCGAGAGAGGGGAGTTCGGTAGTAGTGGGGGTCGCACAGCCTCAGCTGCGGTGATGCACCGAACTAAACACAGCTAGAGCTACAAACCAACTGAAGCTGACACCCCTCGAGCGCGTGCTTCGGACGGGTCCATCTCATACGACAAAAATCAGTCCTTTGCGCAAGTGCCAGCATTTCTCACGCGACCTGTAATTGAGTGTTATCTTGAATGACATAATCCAGACAGTAATGTATTGGCAGATGATACCAGCATTTTCTGGAGACAGAAATTCTTACACCACCTGCAATGTCAGTACAACTTGTCCATAGTGTGTACAGACACCACCCACTAAAGAAGTTATAATTCGTGCCGTGGAATGAGAACCTTTGAGAAGTGCGTGTGCTACCATATACAGTCAAACTCATTTATAATGAGATCTCAGCTATTGCGAGCAAACAGACAAGAATTAGTTGGAAGCGATATATTTTATGAGCAACATTTCACGGTTAAAGCAATCACGGTAGTCGAGAGCTTCATGGGTATAAGAAACAAATCTTTAAGCCATTATAACGAACAGTGGCTCTACTGTCGTACGATGAACTATGATTTATTATTCATTTGCCTGTTTATGACATTCTCCCCTATCTCTTTCAACATCCCTGCCGATAGCAAGTTCTAGCCCCTTTTAAAGATATTTACAGTCGACATTCATAGTGTTTGGTTCGATTTCTCCTCTCAGAATCTCATTTAGTGCTGTACGCTACTTATGAAGAGCATAGTCTCATTCCAGTGGTGTAGCAAATCCCTGCAGACCCTGTGTGTTGGGGCTGCCGAAGATCTACGGGGGATCTTGGGTATAAGGGCAGATATCTCTTCTCCATAAGTATATATCTGTGTGTGTAATAAAAGTAGTGAGCAACAGCAAAAGTAACATATAGCTACAATAATGGACGTAACAAGCACTTTTCCTTGGTCCCTTGGTTCTCGTTATAACCGAGTTTGACTCTACATGGATAGAAAGTCTACTTTAATGTAAACGTGTGGGCTGGTAATATTGGTGGTGCATCCACTTGTTACCAGTACCATCCAGATGCTTAACGGTATACTGTTTTCTTCAAACTATTCTTCCAGGGCTACTTGAAGATGTGCCTCTGGTTGTGTGGCAGGGGTTATCATTCTAGCGTTATGGAGCCTACCACTCTGGAAGATTTTTGTGAGAGTGGGTAGACATGATGGATCCACAGAGGTAGATTGGGTATTGGTTGTAGAGGTCATGTTGCGTGTCTTTCATGGTCAATTGGATTTCTTGTGAGGACACGTCAAGGAATATGTGTATGCAGTTTTTTCCACAAGTATTGAAGAATTGATATTGAGATTTTGTACTGTTGTTACTGACAATATTGGTATGTTGTTTCACATTCAGGGTAATACTATGTGACTCACTACTATACATATGGAACAATCTAGTTACAGTGACTGTTTTCCATAAAAAAAATTCCAATCAGTATGGTGAAGACAGTAAGAACCATAGAACAAAGTAATAATTATTTGATTTGCTTATCTATTTTATTAGCTTACTTTCCACTATAGTGCAGATTTTAGTTACATTAAATTTGTTGGGTACAACCTCAAAATTTCTCAGCATTGCTATCTTTGTAATTGTTACCATAAGTGTTTCAAAAACAATTTCTATGTGTGTTTATGATCTCTTAGATGCCTTGCTCCAGTGGATCAAATAGGGTGTATTGTTGCTGTGTTATTTCACATTCTGCAAAACATTCACCTTAACACAGATGTAATTTTTTATGATGTTACCGCACAAAATTTCAGAATTTATATTACCAGCCTAGTATTACCAAAATTCATTAAAATCTGTAGATTGGTCCAGGCCACACCATAAATCTTTTTTTCTTAAAGAGGAATGTAAAGAAATGCCAAGAACATGTAATAAAGAGAATAGTAGATGGTACAAATATTATGAGAAAAATACTATGGATGCTGAGTTTATTTTCTAGTAGAATATTCATGTATCTAGTGAATTAAATCTTTATGACTAGTGAACCAAGCTAACATATACTGAGCACAGTGGATGACACTATTTGCTTGTACATTATCAGTCAGTGTGCAGTGGTAAATGCAGGTGTTTGATAATTTGAACTGTTCTTTAACTTTCAAAATAACTATATCTTATTTTGACAAGTAGCAGACAGGATAAATTCCCTCACTGCTCATGAACCCTTTTTGCAAGGAAAGTCTCACTTTTCCAAAATTTAAGACTGAAACTAACCCAGTATGAAACACATAGATGCCCTGAGCTATATCAAGCATTATGGCACTGTAACAGACTGCACTGTTCAAATGGGAATGATTCTGTACATAGACATACATTTTTAACTTGCATATTAACATATTTTCATTAAAAAGGTACCAATGCAAAGTGCATTTAAAGTCTGAAAATTATTTGTTTTACACTAACTCAAGTAGGTAGGTTAGATGTATAGTTAAATCATTGCGGTATTGAGCTGTAACAAATAAAGGTAAATTACATACAGCCTGATCATTAATTCGGTTTCATCCTGATTTTGGTTATCCGTGGTCCAGATCCACAATTGTGAACCACAGACAACCTTCAGAAAGAATGTACGGAAGGAATTCTGGTCATTTTGAAACTTATTGGTGTGATGTCATTTAACTGTGAAATGAAAATTATTTCACCTATATTTACGAAGTTGCTGGCTAAGAAAAAATATTTTAAATGTTATAGAAGTTTTTCCATTTCAGAAAGAAAACGAAGTACAGTAGTTTCAAATTATGTTGGTATTGTTTGTGATTTCGAGACTTGTAGATGACACTTGTATTGGCAAGCTGACCATCATTACTTTTATAAATATGCCGACGTAACTTATTATTTGTAGATAAGGGAGATTTTGTTATAGCGTTTCGCATTTGTGAAAGGTAAATTATAATGTTACGACCCGGATGAGACAGCAGACAAAGTTGTGAGATTTAAGTTGGTATGGGTATGTTATATCTGAAGCAGTTTGGTAAACGGCTCTGATAATAAAATATGGACGAAGAAGTGGAATTGGAAGAAGGCGAGGTAAATATGGAGGCTGGGTTTTTAGAAGATTTGCAAATATTGTAATTTAATATGGAAGTAAATTTAGTATGAGAGAATCTATTTTGAAGTAGTCGGAGCCGAGCTGTACTTGATTAATCATGTTGATAGCAATAATACACAAAATTATTGCCAATATTTCAAGTTTAAAACTATGTCTAGAGTGTTAATTTTCTTGGAATTTATAGTAAATTAGCCCTTGTTTCTTATGAGTCAGGTAAATAAATTTCACGTTTTGTCAACTGTTGCTTGCACGTGGCCCATCAAGCCATGAAGGAGATGTGTTGAATGATTAGTTTCAGCTTCTCATGTACATAAAAAAGTATCACACTTTTCTGTATAACCAATACTTGTTGATATCTTCTTTTTCAGCGTCCGTTGAAGCAGAAGCTGCGATTCGGGGGGGGGGGGGGGGGGAGAATTAGGTTATGTTATTAAAATTTTTTATTTACATGGTACTTTAAATGGTGTGTGACTAAGGGATTATGGTAAGCATGTCTATATGCTCACATGTACTTATATTATATCTTTTTTAATTTAATATTTTGCTTAAATTATAACTATTTTGGGGGAATTTACACACCAGAACAAAAAAATTAACGTTCTATAATGTAATGAACATTTTACTTTGTGCATATTTTACTAGCATTGTAGGAAAGTGCATGCCCCATGTCTAATGACCATAGTCTCAGCTGCATGTGCCCTGAAATGGCATAATTAAAATATTTTTACTTGATGGAAGGAATGACGGTGGATATAAAAAATTCCCAGTGGAAGCTAAGCATCCTATGCTTTTTAAATACAATGTTTTTTTAATGAGGGATAAGATTACAGGTAACATGATGGTATTTGTAGTAGTTTGATTTAGTTGTACATGGGATGAATACATGCATTTTAATAAATTTAACAAGAAGGTTAAGTACCATGTGACATTGAAATAATTATCAGGAATTTTTAGAATTTACAGAACTTGGTATTACCAAGGCACTCAAAAATATGCTAAATTAATTGATATTTTGAGATGTTAGAAGCCAAAGTAACAAATGAGAAGTGTAGTTGCAAACTTTAGTTAAAATAGATCTGAATAACCTTCTTGTCAATTGACGAAGGACTCTCGGTCTACAAGCCGCGTGAATACACCATATCCTTGGGAACAGGATTTGGTGTATTCACTATTCAGCCACCTGACATGGCGTGTAGCCTCAGAGTCTTTCATCAACTTCAGTATTCGCAAAAGCTTCACTTTATAAACGTTCTTGTCAGTATGCTTTCTTGAAAGTAGTGACCAGGGGAAGAAAAGTGGACTCTCATGCTTTTCTACCTACCACACTTTCCACATCTGAACTATGTGTGACAGCTTCTCAGTCCCTTCTAAGTTTATTCCCAGTTTCTAGTCTTGGCCCACTGGTGTAGATTCTCCTGCCTAACTAGCAGGGACCTGTCCTACCTTCATAGTGCTGCCTCATGGTTTCCATTGTAATCTCCAGTGTGTCTTCTTGGAGAAAGTTCAGAAATGAAGTTCAGTGCACGTTTTTTACTGCCCCCAGCTGCAGATTCCAGATATCAGGAACCTGATATGTTCATATATTCCAGTGAATCCATTGCTGCACTGCCACTTGGCTGGTGTGTTACATTTTATTTATTAAGTGTTCTGTCTTACGACAGGTCCATTGCTCTGCCCAAAAAGAGCTCTCCAGTTGTCCCTATTCTCGGCTTCTCGCTTTAATTCCTGGAACGTCATCTTCTTTCCTTGTATAAGTTCGTCGGTTAGCTGTATCAGTCTTCTTCCCAGTCCTCGCTTTCCTTCAACCTGGCCTTCGATGATATCACTCATTAATCCATTCCTTCTCATAATATGTCCCAGCCAGTTAGCTTTCCTTCGTGTAATCGCCTGCAGAATGCTTCTTTGCTCGTTGACTCTCCTCAATACTTCTTCGTTGGTCACTCGATCCGTCCACCTGATCTTCTCCAACACCACATTTCAAAACTCTCCAGGTATTTCCGTTCCTTCCTTGGTGCATAGGGCGTCCGTCGTGACTATGCTTCCCAAGTACTTGAAATGCTCCACATTCTCCAGCTGTTGGTTTCCAATTACAACGTTCAGTGGTTCTGCTCTCGGTGCTATCCTCATTACCTTTGATTTTTCAATGTTGATTTCCATTCCATTGTGTTACATAGGGAGGTAAAAAAGAAAATGAAGTCGTCCCGCTTCATGCCATGTAGATCATTTGGGGGGCAGTGGAAGTGAAGATCCTACTCTTTCTTGACCTCGACACTAGATGGGGGTGAGTGGTCAGCATCATGCCCCTGCCGCGCTTTACCCCTATAAAGTACCCCAGTACCCATTGGTTAGGAGGCTTGGTCAGCACCAGAGCCAGTATGGATGCAGAGGCCAGAGGAAAAATCTGCCCCCGTCGGGGATCGAACCCCAGTCATCCAGCCCGTAGCTAGCTGACATTGAAATATATTCTTTATTCTAGATTGTGGATTACAACCCTATCCCAAGACCCAGTGTTTGTGGATCAAGTGTAACAACTATGAAGTACAGTGACAACAGTGGAGATGAGGATGATTCTGTTGACAGTGACAGTGGAAATGACAGTGACTCGCCATGTTTTAGGGCCAAAAAGCCGAAATTAAAGAAGAAAAGTGTAGGTGCCAAAAGAACAACAAACACTGGTAAACAGAATAAGTACAATATATGGTGCAGTGAGCTGCAAGAAACATCGTTAACAGAAGAGCTGGTAAACTGTGATGTGAGGCAGAAGATGTTGGACCGTTCGCGAGATGTCGAGTCCTATGACTACAAACTGGCCTACAGTATGAATGACCAGCATGAGCCCAACGTGGATAATTTTGGCAGTGAATCGAGGGCATTTCATCAGGGTATGAAAAGACGTTATGAGGATAGAGGAAGTGTGAAGTTACGTCTTGGAAAGAGACAGAGCAATAGCAGTGAGAGTGACTGTAGAGGTTCACCAAGGACTCTATCAGATCTTAATGTCACGTTGGAGAATACAAATGAAGAAGTGGCTGATGATATAGCTAACAAGCTCTGTGAGGAGAAAGATGATCTTATTTGTAAGTACTATAATACAATTGACTAAAGGTGGCGACTGACTTGTAACATTTACTCGTAATGTGACATTTGCGGCGAGCATGTTACATTACACCACAACTGGTGAGGCGCATCGAATGCTCGTTTTGAACGCTCGGCTCGACTGTGCTCGTGTGTGCTCCATTCATTTTGTTCAATATGTCGGACATGGAGGTTGTGTTATCTTTGTTTCATTTAATACGCTACTCTTATCTAAAGAACTCGTGAATGCTCGTTACGACGCCTTTCGACTGACTGACTGACTTGTAATGTAACACTCAAAGGGATTCGCGAAAAAACCGACAACACGATGGAGCGCCCGCGAGCGTGAGCGGCTCGCATCGAGCGGCTCCGTTCGCTGTCTTCATTTGTGTAATGCTCGATTTGTAACACGTTACATTACAGGCAAATGTTACAAGTCAGTCGCCACCTTAAGAATTGTGCTTCATTTACCTGTGTCCGTGCATGAAGTTTCTCTCTTCTGTATTATATCCATTCATGAAATGCAGTTGTAGAATGCATGTGACATTGATGTTAGTTTTATCTGTAAATAGTACACAAAATTTTCAGAAAACCCAAATGTGGAGGAAATCCAGTATGTAAGGTAAAGCCGTCCCACTACACGCCATGTAGGTCGCTTGGGAGGAGAGGCGGTATAGCTCCTACTCTTTCTTGACTTCGACACTAGATGGGGTTGGCAATTCAAACTTATTTAGTGTGTTTATTAATTATACTTCCTAGTTTTGAGTGGATGTGAGTTTGAGTCTGATATTTCTCACAATAAATGTAGTGTTTGTAGTGACATGAATGTGAAAAATCTGTAAATAGACTATAAAATGTCAGCTTTGATGATGAAGATGATATCATTGATGAAAGTGACATGCAGTATATGGGTTCCTGGTACCTGTTAGATAAGAGGCTAGGTATTCCCCACAGCTGGTCTGGATGAGTACATGAGTCAGAAATATATTAGTGATAATTTCATTCCATCTGAAATCTGTATCACTTGAGTAGTTATTTAGAATACAGTGAAAATCGATTAATGTATTTGAACATAAATTAACTTTCTGTACGGGTTTTATGGCTGAAAATATGTACATATGAATTTTATAGTAAAAGAAATCCAAGAAAAAGAATTTTCAAAATGAGTGCAAAACTTTTGAAGATAAATGGCTGCCATATCAAATTAAAATATCAGCGGGATTTTTCAGATAGATAGTGACTCAAAAATATACCACTTAAGTTGTTAAAGAGTACAAGTCACAACATTGTAACCATACATCTAGCGTAGCATAGCGGGCACACTTCAAGAAATTTCAGTTTTACATAAGAGCATTTTCTTGATCAAATGTTATTAACCTATTGCTCTTCGCATTTTATTTTGCATAATTATTCTGTTTCAGTGAAAGTTGTTGAGGTTCTCGGTAAACAGAAGGCCATTGACATGTTCAGGGAAACAAGAAAGATAGAAGAAGATGGTGGTATGATGGTTTTGGTATGTAGTCTGAATATTTTTGCATTGAGAGAGTTTGTGCTTTATATTTACTTCATGTAGAGCACATTTTATGCTGGTTTCCAGAAGAAAAATAGCTTTGTAAATTTATACATGCTGTTGAGTCTCCCAAAAGTCTTTTGAATGGAATTACCAAAAGTCAGTAAGTAAAGTAAAGTTTGTCCCACTGTACGCCATGTAGGCGCTTGGGGGGAGTGGAGGTATAGCTCCTCTCTTCCTTGACCTCGGCACTAGATGGGGGTGAGTGGTCAGCATCACGCCCTGGCCATGCTTTACCCCCGGGAAAGGATCCCGGTACCCATTGTAGAGGAGGCTGGGTGGGCCCCAGAGCCGGTCTGGACGCAGAGGCTAGAGGAAAAATCCTCTGCCCCCTGTCGGGGATCGAACCCCAGTCGCCCAGTCCGTAGCCAGTCACTATACTGACTGAGCTATCCCGGCTCATAATAGAAATATGGAGTGCCCCAAAATGCTGGAAGTACACTGTAATCGTGTTATATGTCACTCAAGCTGTGTGAATGGCCCTGATAATCTACATAAGGTTTAGATTGTCTTGAACTTCAAATATCTGTAGCTCTGTAACTGCTGAGAATCAGACCTGTGTTAATGATGTTTCTGACTGGGAATGACCTCTAGAAATATTGACACAGTCACCATACTTACTTACTTTACTTTGATATTTTGACGACCCGTCCTTCAAGTGCCTGAGCACTGCGGGTCCCAACTTTTCGTTGGCTTGATCTATAGACATTCGGTAGGACTCCTTGGACGAGGGATCGGCCCGTCGCAAGGCCTCTACCTGTACACAGGACAGCACAACACAACATCCATGCCTTGAGTGGGATTCAAACCCACGGTCCCAGCGACCAAGCGGCAGAAGGTCCACGCCTCAGACTGCATGGCCACTGAGACAGCACAGTGACCATACACCTTGTATTTTGGTTTCACTGTAAAGATGCTTTGAAAACCACAATCATTTGTGGCCAATGTGTTTATTGCTTTGAATGTTCTGATGTGGATTGTTTTTCTTTCTTTCTCTTCTTCCCCATATAGAATAACTCTCGACGAAGAACTCCAGGTGGGATATTCCTTTTGCTGGTGAAAAGAGATGGCGACATTCAACAAGACAAGCTGAACTTGATATTCACAGATGACAAAAAGAAAAGGGAAACAGTGAAGAAACATTCACATTCACGGTTGAGAAAGGCAAAGGCAGAAGAGCTGAGGAGGAGCTTATCAGCAGGTAGGCGTGTGCGCGTGCGGTGGTACCATTAGAGATTTCTTCACCACCACATGAATCATCAGGCTAATTTCTAGACTTATAACCTGTATTTAAATATAAGTCTAATGGTAATTGCATAAATCGGTTGATTTGTAGACAGTTTGTATTCTTAAGGTAACAGAGCCAAAGTCACAAAGCATTTTTCCCACACCGTGTGGCTCAACGCGTCGTTGAATCTCCCTAAGCGTGAGGCTGCCGGCAGCTCACGTGGTAGCGAAAGTGTTAAAATAGTATTTTCTAAGATTCTATATCGGAGTCTACATTTTTACCGACTCCTACTCCACCTAAAATTGCTTCCGATTCCAACTCCACAGCCCTGGTGAGAACCTCATCTCATGTATCAGTCAAGGTGGGCTCATCCAAGCAGTGACCAAGTGATGAAATGGGCTTAAACTGCTGGCCGCTTTTGCTTAACGCCCACCTCACTTGTCTTGTCTGAATTTTACTACAGATAATGTTACATGTGAGAGCTTATTCTTTCCATCTACATTCATTCCCACTATGTAATTTTAAGGCTGTCACCCTCGGTAGGCTAGTGGTTTGCGTGCTCGCCGCTGTACCCAAGGTTCGTGGGTTCAAACCCGGCTGAGGTCAATAGATTTTTAAGGGTGATAAAAATCCGTAGCACAACTTCCTTTGGAGGGGAAGTAAAGCTGGCGGTCCCATGTAGATTTACAGAATGTAAAAGAACCTTATGAGCATAAAACAAGATGTTTCATAAGCAAAATTCAGTAGCCATTTCTCACCCAAGTCTCTCCTGATTGACTGTTAGATGGCTCTGGCAGTCAGATCAGGATTGAGTAGAAATTGTGCAGAGTCAGTGGGGTCACTCACTACTCATAAATGCACACTTCAAGACCAAGAAACCTCTGAAAAAAGGAGGCGGCAAAAACCCACAACTTCGGTTGTAGAGCCAAGAAACAACAACAACCAAAATACAATTGTATTCTCATGCTTTGCTTGAAATCACGACATCATAAAGTACTTGTCTCAATTCCAGATGGCATGTTGGCAGAAAGAGACCTGCCGGCCTTATTGACTCGGTCAGAGCTACAAATTCAGCAGCGACGCAAGGACTGCGAGACTGATGGGGTGACTAATCCCCCACCTTCACCAGCAACCGACGGACGGGAGAATAGCAGTGACGGCGTTCCCGAGTTGAGTGAGCAGCTGGGGAACAGGCAGCTTACCGCTTACGCTGATGCGGACTTCCTAGATGTGGCCTGTGACAATATGGATGTTTTCTAGTGATAACGTGCCTCAAAAACACAAAACTGCGGTACTCTGTTTATTGCATAAGTTTTTTTGCAGACTTCGCAGTTTGAGCTACAGATAGGCAGATGTGATATTTTTCTGTTTGAAGAATGTTGTAGTATTGACTACTTGGTTGGCATTTCAAGTTTAATTTTGAAATAATATGGAAAGCAGTTACAGCAAATGTTTTTCGTGCATTCTTATGCGTCATGAGAAAGTTATATTCAGATTTCATATTTGCACTTGAATGTTATTCCTTGGTGAATATATATAATAGTTTGCATATATTAAGGTGGCGACTGACTTGTAACATTTGCCTGTAATGTAACGTGTTACAAATCGAGCATTACACAAGTGAAGACAGCGAACGGAGCCGCTCACGCTCGCGGGCGCTCCATCGTGTTGTCGGTTTTTTCGCGAATCCCTTTGAGTGTTACATTACAAGTCAGTCAGTCAGTCGAGCGGCGTCGTAACGAGCATTCACGAGTTCTTTAAATAAGAGTAGCGTATTAAATGAAACAAAGATAACACAACCTCCACGTCCGACATATTGAATGAAATGAATGGAGCACACACGAGCACAGTCGAGCCGAGCGTTCAAAACGAGCATTCGATGCGCCTCACCAGTTGTGGTGTAATGTAACATGCTCGCCGCGAATGTTACATTACGAGTAAATGTTATAAGTCAGTCGCCACCTTTAAGCATATGCTAAAATTATCCTTTTTACTATGACTTGTGTATGTAAGAGGTTTATATCTTTTGGTGAGTTTCAACTTTGTTCATAGTAAAGTTGCAGTTATAACAGTACATTGAATTCCTTAGTGTTCGGAAATGGGTAGCTTTAAAGCAATTGTGGTGTTCTTCAGATGTTTTTAAGAGTTCGTAATGTCAATTGTACAGTCCATGACTGTAATGTTGAAACTAGCGGGGTGAGGGCGTGGGGTGAAGGAGGAAAGACACCGTCTGCCTTCAACGCTACGTACTTCCTGCATTCCTTGCAAGTCTCAAGATTACAGTCATGGACTATACTAAACTTGTTAACATATGTGTGTTCTGACAGGTACAGCAAAGCTAATTTATGATATGCAGTTTTCCAAAATGAGGAGGCTAGGGCTCGATTTTGGGCTGTTACGCCATAGTAGTAGTAGTAGTTTTCCAAAATGCTGCTAATAAGAATTGCCTTCCAAGGCCCTGACAAGCAAAAAGCATCACAAAAATTTTGATACTGATTTTTAATCTGCAGGTAGATTAGTTTCATAATTTTTCAGTGCTGAGCATAATTTCTGTACACGGTATTCTAATTACATCCAAAATCGATTAGATCTAATTATAAATGAACAATACATTATCTTAATAGTGGAAAGTTGTGATAAATTGGCTGAAAAGTATTAAGAAGACTGTCATATTGTCGTCCTTGCAGTTCAATGTTCTGAATCACATTATTTGATTGAATTTTTATAATTCTGTTTGTAGCTGTTTTCTGTTATTCGATGTTATGTAATTTAAGTTGCCTTTGGCATTCTCTGTGCTAAAACTTTATTCCACCATTCTAAAAAATTACTCATATCAGATATAATATCTGTATTTTAAGATCAATAACTTTTATTTCAAACTATTTTTGGTTTTATTTGTTGTGTGTTTAACTAAACAAAGCATTTGTTTTATGCATTACATAAAATATGGAGTGGACTGGTATCAAAATTAAATTTATCCTACAGTTTTTAATGTAAACCTCTCGTAAGAAATTTCATCCAAAATCAGGTAGTTTTGGATTTGAAATGGAAGAAGACTTTAATATGCAGCCTCCTGGTATATGCAGATTGTGATGCCTGTTTTCCTTCTGTTGAAGCCAGC